GCTCTCGTCTAATGCCGATGTGCCCTGATCCTCTCCCCCTGAGGTAAATCTCGTCGTTTGCCCCATATTTGGCACTCCAGATACCGGCGCGAAGAAGGGGAGAGGAGCACGACATCCGCCCAACATTCCGCGTCGCGCGTGGGGTTATGATAAGTGGACAGCGGAGACACCGCCGCCGCACGCGGCTGGGTTCGTGGTTCGAGGGCGTGCAGTGCTGAGTGCAAAAATCATAGCCACGGTGCGAGCCACGTTGAGCCAAGATGGATACGGTGATCACAGGGAGGGGGGATGGAAGAGGAGGCGGGGAGAGTCAGGTCAGAAAGGGAAGCATGGTGAAGAAAGCAGGAGAGGCATAGGAAAGAGGGGTGAGGGAGGCGGGAGGATGGAGCAGGGAGAACGCATGGGAAACGGATCCTGAAATGACGAGAGGAGGGCGGGACGGTAACAAGTCTATAATGAGAAAGCGGAGGAAGGAGCAGGAGGAGGAAGAGAAAAAGGTCCTCATTCCTCAGCCTCCTCCTCCTCTCCTCGGGTCCCTCCCCTCGGTCGTGAGTTGAGCAGGGACCGACCGTCCCGGCATTCCTATAGGCCTACCACGAAATGCTCGTATAACAAAAGTTACATGAAGTCTACGTGTTAAAGCAAGACAGTCTCAGCCAGAAACGTTCGAATAACATTTCGTGCAAACCACAAAAAGGTAATTGGGATATTCTGTGGTGGGCCTATAGGATAGCCAGGACGCTTCGCCACTGCTTGAATGCGGGACACGAGAGGCATGACGACAGAAGGACGAGGGGGCAAAAGGAAGAGAGGAAAGCGAGGACGACGAGGAGGACGCGCGAGGGTCTGGGGGCCACGCCTCTGAATCTCGGGGCCCTCTGGAAGAGTGACTCGGACGAGGGCCAGTTTAGACAAAACGGCGACTGTCCCGCCATTCGGCTGCACGCAAGAGTGACCCTAGGCAAGAGTGATCTGTGGCGCGCGGCTTAACGGGGGACGCGGGGAGACCAAACATGAGCGCACAAGACGCTACGGTCGCATCACGTTCGTCGATCGGGGGACCCCCGTGGGCCCGCACCAAAGGTTACTCTGGCAAGGGTCACTCTTACGCGTAGTCGACCCTCGATCTGGAACAGCCCCTCCCGCCACGTCGTCGTCGCTTGCGGGCGACGAGTCCGTCGGTCAGGCGGGCGGGCGAGACACGACGTCGACGTCGTCGTGTGCCAGTCGGTCGGGCGGGCGGGACACCCCGTCGTCGTGGGCCAGTTCATCGTCGCCAACGCCTTCGTCGCCGTCGTCGTCGTAGGCGAGTCCGTAGGTCGGGCGGGCCGGAAGCGTCGTTAACGTCGTCGTGGGCGAGTCGGTCGGGTGAGTGGGACACGTTGTCGTCGTTGTTTGCTTGCGCCTGGCGTCTTTGCCGTCGCCGTCATTGCCGTCGTCGTCGTCGTCGTCGCCGACGTCGTGGGCGAGTCGGTCTGGCTGGCGGGTCGCCGTCTTGCTCGTCGTTCGCCAGCGCCTGGAGTCGCTGTTGTCGCTGCCCCTGCCGCCATCGCCGTCGTCGCCGTCGTCGTCATCGTCGTCGTGGTCGGGCCCGTCAGTCGAACGGGCGGGCGGAACACGTCACCGTCGTCGTCGTTTGCTGGCGCTGGGCGTCGCCGTCGCCGTCGCCGGCGCCGTCGCCGTCGTCGTCGTCGTCGTCGTCGTCATCGTCGTCGTCGACCTCGTCGCCCTCGTCGTCAGTCGAGTGGGCAGGCAGGAAACGACGTCGTCGTCGTCGTCATCGTCGTCATCGTCGTCGTCCGTCGTCGTCGTTTGCTGGCGCCGGGCGTCGTCGCCGTCGCCATCGCCGGCGCCCAAAAAGGGGGGGGAGGGATTGAAGCCCCCCCCGACTTTCACTGTTGAGAGGGGGGGCCCACCCCTATCGCGACTTTGGAGGGGGGCGAGGTTGAAATCCCCCCCCCTGACTTCCTGCCAACACTGTTTCCAACTGGCCCTCCTCCGAGAAGAGATGCAAAAAAGCCGCCAGGCTGCCGCGTCCAAAGCGGGACGCTGGCCTGGCACCTCTATCTATACATGCACACCGCCCCTGGCCAAGCCCTCTTTCCATCATGCACCCGACCAAGATGATTCTGGGCAGATGCTGCGCCGGCAAGATGCACCAGGCAAACCCGGAGAAACGCAATGGCAAATCTGCAACAAGCGACCACCGCGAAGACCTGGGAACTCGTGTGGGTCCCTCCCGAGGGCCCAGTTCGGTCAAAGCAAACACTACCCGGGCATAAGGTGTCGGAGGTCCGCGCGGGCTTCTTGAATCGGCGCTGGGCCCCCTTGCTGGCGCGCGGCACACGCCAGGGGCAACGACGGAGGCGCCGCCAGGGGGTCCAGCGCCGATCGCAGAGATCCGCGCGAGCATCGAACAATCTATAGGTATATAATTCCAAATTGTTCTACTGCAGGGCTGAACCTAAACGGTTTTTTTCGATTTCGTGTTGTTTTCGTTTTCCCTCGTTTTGTCTTCAATCCTCATTTACCGCAAACGAAGTCGAAACGTAAACGGCCCACGAAATCGCCCAAACACAGTTTAGGTCCAGCCATGTTATACGGTTCATCGACATGTATGCCTCCCTGGCCAAGACGGGAGGGTGCATCGGGCGTGGACTAATCCGGCTCAGCCAGTTCAGAACAAAAAGCTGAGCTGCATTTTTGGGAGGGGCTTCCAACAACTGGGTGAGCCAAGGTGTAAGGACACCTCCAGGGCCGCGAATGGCTCCCAAACCCGGCTCAACCAACATCCGGCGTTGCGGGATCCTGCAGGATCTGGCGCTCTGAGTACCGTCTGCGCTGAACCCCGTTTGAGTGGCAACGTTCGGGGGGATCAGCTCAGGGGGGAAACGCCGATCTGGAATCGGCGATGCGTCGGTCATAGATCAGCGATGTGCTCCCGATCGCAGATCCACACGTTCCCGCGCGCGGTGGGCGATCGGGCCCCCCTCGGCGAGGCATGGGCGGCTGCGAGTCGATGCGTCCCTCCACGAGTACCTGAGCCCATGCCCATCGATGATCCTCGCCGTCCAGTTTCCATGCCATGACTCGGTCCAGAGGCTCTTCGGGAGGATCCGGGCTTCCCAGGACGCCTCTCGACCAAGTCAGGCTGCTGGACAGCGCCCCGAAGCCGAAAAATCGCGGGGGACCGACGAAAGCGCCCGAAAGTCTTCGACCTCGAAACTCCCCCCCTGACCCTATCCCCTCCTGACGTTGCCCCTGATGGCCTATCGTTGTTTCTGTCCGTTACCTGCAGACTGGGTGTACACACCGGCGGATGGGTTTGGCCATGGGGCGGGGCATGCCGTGCACAGAACCCGTAGCCCTGTGGGAAGCGCACGCACGCCTCGGCGGCGGCGAAAAACGGCACGGAACGGTGAGACTCTCGGGTCGGGCGGCGGGAAGGGGGGAGCAGGAGAGGGAGAAGGGAGGAAGGAGGAGGAGGGACGTTTTAACAGTGACCTCTGCGTGGAAATGGCATCAAGCATCAGGCGCCTGGGGAAACTGGCCGATAAGAATGCAAACCGTAGATTGGCACCTCCAGGGTACCAAGGCGGATGTGCGAGCCAGAAATTCATGCACGACCCAGCTTGAGAAGCAACCCGGACTTTCATACTAGCTGCGCTGGGAGCGGATCCGCAGTGACTGGGTCAACCTTGACATACAGGCACGCAAGGTGATTATGATAAGGGGCACGGACAACATTGGGCAGGAAAACGAATGTCTCGCCCTGAACATACGAACGCAACGAGATAGAAGTGGAGGAGCCACAACCCTAACCCCCAGGGGAAGCGAAACCCCGGACGCAGACCGAGCAAGCTCGGCCCTCGTCCAGAGCAGACAACGTCCAAGAAAAAAAGGACACTGACCGCCGAATTCACTAGCAGGGAACTTCGTCGCTTTGATTAATCGCGCCTTGACTCCGAAAATACCTCCATGCTAGAACCCGATATCAAAGCAGAGGCCTTGCCATTGGAACTCCTTTCTGGGGCCTGTTCAATGCCAAAGGAGACGGTCACTCGACGGAGGGCGCCCTTTGGATCCCCATCCTCTGGGAAATTAGAGGCGCGTGTCAACCCAAATGCGCACCACAACGCGAGCTCAACCATTGTTGATACGCTTCCGCCACTCTTTGGAACAAGTGCCTGGTTCCGACGGATCCTGGTCGGCCTTCACTTTGTTGAAACTGCGCACGCAAGTCGAAGTCTGAAACTCTCTGACCACAATCCTTGCACAAGGCTTGATGCGCGCCGACGGGATACGGGTGTCATCAAGATATCAGGCGGGCCTACAAGCTGCAAGAAAGCCATCGCTGCAGCCTGAAACTCTTCCAGACTGAGGAGGCACAGCCTGGAGGAAAGGAGAGAGAGAGAGGGAGAGAAAACAAAAGAGAGATAACACAAGACACTAAAAACAGATTGCGAAAGGTCACAAGAGAAAAAAGAGAGACAGATAACTGGACCGAGGAACCCTTGGTATGTTCCGCACAGCTACCATCAACGAGTATGGCACATGGCACCTTCATAAACAGCATCCTGGCGGTCCCCGCATGCCCAGGTCATGTCCCAACCGCCTCAGGGTGAAGGCGTCGGGTGGGTACCACCTGGATGCGGAAAAATACACTGAACAAAATATCCCCCCCTTTCGCCTGGCAAACTTTCCGGATCTGGACCTCCGAAACAATCTCCGGCCGCTGATATTGAAAGACATGTCAAATCCTCAGATTGTGAAGCTCCGGATGTTGAGATGATGCGCAGTGCGCGCGCAGGATAGAAGCCGCCTGGTAGCCGCAGTCCAGGGCCCCGCCAAGGGCCCAAGTGGCACCGCACACGAACGCGTTCAAACAATCTCGGGCCACGGGGGAAAATCGTTTTGATCGAAGTCTGGCCCCAACCACGTATAACCAACACCTGTCGCATCCTTTTTGCGCATTTTACATGACCATTCCCTCAAATATCCAAGCATCGCACGAAACAGCATGCCCTTGATGGGGGACTGGCCAAACGTGAGTCTGACCGATTCCCCGAAATCGTTCTCCCAAATGACGTACTTGAACATGCCCACAAGACCTCGTTATCAGCCAGCTTACGAGCGGAGATCGCACCCCAGACTTTTCCGTTTGCGCCACCTTCATGACGCGCCGTGTCCGAAGTTTCTCGAAGCTCTTGAAACGCCATCAAATTGTGGCATGATCGAGCCGAGGCTGCGCGAGCCTCCTTCGCATGGCGGATGATCGCAATCACGGCGCACCTCCACGACGGGTCGCCCCCCAGAGCCATCAGAGATGTTGGCGGTCCGCCGACATCCTGCGAAACCTTCCCTGTCGACTGCCAAATGAGATGCGCATCCCCATCAACCTATCAGATGTGCCGCGCACCTCTGTTCCGTGCTCGATGGCGGGCAGGCTTCTCGCTACACAATTACGCTAATATCCGCTGCCCCGCGAATTCCCAACGCGCTGAATCTTTCTGTCCAGAGCCTTCATCGGGAAGGGTCTTCAATGACCCCCCCGGCAATAATGCGAAACTAATTAAATGTGTCCGCGGGCTGATTGACGGATTGGGACCCCAACAAGAATTCTAAATTAATTATTCTCGGCGGCGGAAGCCTGAGAGGCCAAGAGAAATGATCTAACATCTCAACGTTCAACGCCAGGCGGCCTCCTCCTCCTCCCCCTCTCCTCCTCGCCTACACGCCGCCACCGCAACTGCTGCACACGTGCGGACATGCATTGGCGGTGAAGATGGCGACGACCACGAAAACGAAGAGGACGGAGACGACGCCGACGAAGACGACTCGAGGAATCGATTGGATGAGCGTCGATTTCTATTGCAGGCCTTGTTTAAACGAAAATGTTCGAAATTCCTCCCGCGCGCAAAGTAGCCCAGGAGGTATTCTCAACTGGGAGAAATAACCGCCCAACAATATCCAGCACGGCCGACAATAATGGGAAACTAATACTCCCGCGGCGGCGAAGACGACCACGAAGACGACGACGACGGCGGCGACGAGGACGACGACGAAGACGAAAACGACGACAACGAAAACAGCTCGAGGTGTCGATTGGATGTGCATCGACTTCTATTGCAAACCTTTTTTACAAACGTGCTCGAAATTCCTCCCGCGTCCACAATAGCCCTGGAAGCATTCTCAGCCGGGAGAAACAAACACCCAACAGTTTCAAGCACGGCCGACAATAGTGGGAAAATAATCCCCCGGCGTCGGCGAGGACGACGACGACGACGACGAAAACAACGTCGATGACGACGAAGACAGCGAAGACGACGAAGACGAAAAGGCTTCTGACCCCGCAGCGCAGGCACGGCGGAGACGCGGTTGACCTACAGCCAAGGTCCTGCGCCCTCCGAAGGCCCCCGGAGGCTGAAAAAAGAGAAAACCCTCCATTCGTGTTTGTTTTGTGCGGCGCCCAGATCTGGGAGGTTTGCGGCCCAGAACCCAGGCAAGGCGGCGAGGCTTGTGACCCACAACCCAAGCGCAACGGTGGGGTCTTCGACCACGAGCCAAGCACGGCAGTGCACTCTGTGACACACTACCCACAACGGCGGCGAGGCGTCCGACTCACAACCCAGGCGCGGCGGCCAGGTCTCTCAGCCACAGCCCAGGCACGTCGGCGAGGCTTCGGGCCCAGTCCAGGCACGGCGGTGACGCTTGTGGCCCACACCCCAGGTACGTCGGTAAGGCTTCTGAACCCGCGACCCAGGCACGGCGGTGTGGCTTCTGAGGAGGAGGAGGAGGGCTGATTGGACAGGACTGCCATCTGGAGTGCCGATGTCGCCTTTACGGTCCAGAATGACAATCGCTGTGATACGCTTCGCCACGAGCAAGTCGAGAACTCCAAACATTGTAGCGAATCTGCAACCCACGGCACGGCGAGCGAGAGCATGGATGAGGAACGCGCAAAAATCGTCGTCTTCGTCGTCGTCGTCGTCGTCTCCCGTCGTCGTCGTCCTCATCGCCGTCCCCCTCCTCCCCGAGTCTACGAAACGGTGCCCAGAACAGGGGGGGGAGGAGGAAGAGGAAGAGGAGGAGGAGGAGGAGGAGCAGGAGGGGGAGGGGGAGGAGGAGGAGGAGGAGGAGGGAGGGGAAGGAGGAGGGAGGGGAAGGATGAGGAGGAGGGACGAGTTTCTATTGTTTCGATTCCCCGCCGAGGGTTTCGGGGGGGGGGGCGCATCATTAAAGACCCTTCGCTAGTATCAATCGCAAACCTGACGATGAATATCTTGCAGCGGTCGCATCACCTTCGTGTCGCGAAGTCACGAAACGGCAAAGGTCCAGGCCCGCCTCCCGGAAGCCTTCGAAGTTGAAAACTTCGCTATTTAAGGAGAGGGAGAGCATCGCTTATGGCAACGCTAGCTACGCTGAGCGTGGTCGTGGGCTGCCATCCTGGCGCCAGCGTGCCGCGAAATTCCTGCACACTTTGTCGCCTCGGCGTGCTCCAGGCCCGCCGGATAAACTCGACCTTCACTTGATTGGCGAACTTCGAGTGCAGTGCGTCGACCCCCTTCGAAACCTTCAGGACATGCCCAGCAGACGCCGCCTCGAGGACATGGCGCCCGTCGCCCAGGATTCGCCCCTGACTGGGGAGTCGGCGGCTGGGGCCGATGGGCCTCCCGACGGGATCTCGGGGCGTTGCTTGAACTGCAGCGCCGAGAGCTCAACGCCTCTCGGGCGAGGGGGCAAGCGGGTTGCGGCGCGAACCTTAGCGATCGCCCGGGGAGCTTGCTCGATGGCCCCCCGGAAGATCGTCTCAGGAACCTCCTCGATGGCCCCGACCCGCTTGAGGACGCCAACCAATATCCTACATGGGGAAGCCCCCCCCCCCGCCCCCCCCCCCCCTTGAAGCGCGCGGCCCGCGGCCGCTGCGCCCCCCCCCCCCGCCCCGGGCAATCCTCGGGGGGCCGCTGTCCAACGTTAATAAGGGCCAACATTGAAGTCCCTCGCAGGTGACTTCCTCGCCGCGCGAAGAGACAGCGCTGCCGGCGTGGCTGAAAATCGAGCCTTCGATCCGACAATTCTCGGTTCTCGGCCAGGCAGACGGGGCCGATGGGCACTGGCTGGGCGCTCGGCAAAGGCGTCGCCGCCAACGCGGCACCCCCCGGCACAATCCACGCCCTCGTCGCACTGGCGCGCGCCCCTGTCCAGCCGCGTCTAGCGCGCCGCGGGCTGGCACCTCGAACTTCCGACCCGTCAGACGTTCCTGGCCGGCGACGACACGAGCGGGCGCCTACGTTTAACGGCCCCGCGAAAGAGCCCCATCCAACGCGCGCGTGCTTTTTTTTGGTCACCGTTGACCGACCAGCTATGACAGTGCGACAGTTCGCAGCGCACTGCCTGCAGCCTCTCGCGCCGCTATGCGGGCACGAATGGCATCCAAGCATGGCAGCAGGGCTGCGGAGGCCGCCACTTCGCCGCGGCGCGCAATCTGCAAAACAACATCCGCCTCCTGCCTCGCCACCTGTTCTTCAGGTTCAGCACAGGAGACTGCAGCGCAGCGCAAAGGATGAAGCCCTCTGCGCAGCCGAGACAAAACTTGGCCACCGCTGCGAATGCTGCCAGGCTGGCAGCGGGTGGCCAAACTGCGAATCTTGTGCTGCGAGTATGCTCCGCAAGCCAGACAAAAGAACAACGGGTTGGCCTCGTCTCCAACCTGGGTGCTCGCCAGCTTGTGTCCGTGATCGGGGGCAGAGACCAGAAGCTCAGCCACTCTCTCAGGGAAACCTTCGCATCCAAGCTCAGGGCGCTCGTGTTGTCGTCCTCCGAAGAAGACCAAACACTTGGCGCACCGAAACCCCCAGAGACTCCGCTGCCAGGCATGCCACGACGTGGCCTTGTCAAAAACCTTTGTGGGTATCCCACGCCTGGGTGGCCTCTGGTGAGACGCACGAGGAAACAGCGGCAGCGCACTCGCCATCAGCCGTGCGCACTTGCGCATCTGGTCGATGGTCCAATCTAACTGCTTGGCTTCAGCCTCCGACGGGTGCGCATGCAGCCCGATGGCCTTCTTGGCCTCGAGATCTGCTCGCCAGTTGGCCTGGCCAATCCTGCGCTCTGGTTAAGCCAACGCATCTATCACTTCAAGCTTGCGGTGCGCAGGCGTGTGAACAGCTGGGGCAAACTTATTTTCACACATATGGATCAGGGCACCTCGCCTTAAGCCTCCGTACCTTTGCTTCGGGGAGATTTGTTCGAGGGGGCCTTTGTTGTGGAGCTTGACCGCATTCATGCAATCACTGTAACACTCAGAGGCCAACCTCGGCACGAAAATGGGCAGAAGCGCCAACTACAGCTGCTCCGCGGCCTGGCTAGTCTGGGGCAAGGAGGGCCACGCCACTCCCCGCGCGACAAACTTCTGGTGGCCTTCGCCATCAAAGAAGACCCAAGAATACGCAGCTCTGGACAACTCCGAAATACAGTGTGGTATGCATGATCCATCCCCTGCCTGGTAGAGCCCACTGCTGTCAAACTTCGACCACTCCACCTCCTGTCCATCCTCATCATACAAGACAGGCGCATGCTCATCACTAGGGCTGGGCCAGCTGCCAATCGGGCGCAACATCTTAAGTCAGTCGCGCAACGCATCGCCACTGTCAAGAGCTTCGCGGCAGAAGTTAGCCGATGCCTCCACCTCCTCTCGAGCTGCCACAACGTCCTGATGCTGACGCTCGTAGATGCGGTGCCTGACCGAGTCAGGTCTCTGGCACAGCGGGCACAGTCCTAAACAGAGAGGCGCCCCGATCCACGAGCCCGATCCTCAGTCCACAAACCTTCACAAAACAACAGTTTTAACCAAATACTTCCCCTGGGCACTTAAACCGATCCTTTTGGCCCGAGGGTTCACAATCCGTCGCAAGGGTTCAACGCGCACCCTAGCCCCCGAGGGTCACCCAAGTTTTTCTGCTAAAACTCTCTCATGGTGTCTCTGGACACCACGCTCCAAAAAGGAACGCACCATGGAGGGGGTGGTGTACAGTAAACTGTGCTCGACGCCCTTATCATCTATCCAATGCAGGGGGTTCACCGCCGACCACCCGATCCTACACAGAGACAGGTGTATCCTACTGATCGGACCACGCGGTTTAGCCCAAGTAAGTCCTTCCCCCTTGACCTCCCTCCACATCGCGCACAGGTCCTTGACCGAAAACTGCGCATGGCTGGGCCTTGTGACGGCGCTCCACACCGCCTGGGCCCAAGCTATGGCTGGGGCAACCATGCTCCTCCACAGCGGGTCACCAACCAAGGCAACCTTGGCGCGCACAGAAACACCCGCATGCCTTGGGGCCTGAAAAAGACAACAAAATTCGTCTCGCTCGCCTGAGTTCGGCATCAGTCATGCCCACAATGGTGCCCCCAAAAGTGAGCGCTGGCTTGACGCCAGCCGTGTATTTTTCCGATTCGGCCACGATCCCTTGGTAAAGCCCGCTGGTATCGCTTCAAAACACGATGTCGCTTGACCATGTCTTGGAAACGCTTGCGCCTCTTGGAGAGATGCGCCCCCTCCTACTTCGTTTGCCCCCAGGAGCCAAATCGCAACCCAAAGACACGACATGCGTACCGACAGTCCCCGCCAGGAGTCCGAGTCGAATCCCGAGGCGACGAGCAGTGTCAGGATCCGAAGCAAACGTCATCAACTTATCTGGAGCTAGATTCACCAAGCTCCTGGGTGAACACGCTGTGAAGGTCCGCCGCCACAGAGACCAGCGACTCGATAACAGACTCCTTCGTGCCACAACTGATGACTGTGTCGTCGTCAATGTACGAGGGCAAATCCACACACGGGTTACGACTCACGAAACCATCGAAAGGCTTCATGGCATACACCCGCCCAAAAATATCGTTGAAGCACGATCCAGCAGGTGGCCCACTGGTAGCATACTGCACTGCAAGGCTGGCCTGAACCTAACCTTAAGATCCTAGGGCCACGCCAAACATTGGAAACCATCTTGACGATAACTGGTTCAAGCCCGACCGCCAGGCTACGATCCTTGAGTCTCTGGAGATCAAAACTTTCATAATACTCGGTGCCATCCCAAGAGAACCCCGCCGAGACTCCACCGCCTTCCACCTGGGCTCCGGCCTTGATGGCCTGACCCCACACACAAGCTTCCGCCGACTTACCCGCACCAAAGGCCCAATACCTCCTGGGGTGAGTGTCGTTGAAAGGGGCGAGGTGGGGGCGCCTTAACTTCTCCCACAAGCGCACAGGGGCCGAACAGAGCAAGATCGGACGAAGACCACCCTCGGGTTTCTCGAGCAGGGGAAACAGCATCCAGTACAAAGCCAGAGGGAACAATCCCAACTTCTCAGACGCTTGAAACAGGCAGGCCAGGGTGTCCAACCCTTCATCACAGAGAAAGGCAAAATGCCGCACGCGCACCCCATCAAGGGACTGAGCCCTGTGCGGAGAGAAGCTCTTGGCCGCGGAACGTATAGCCTCAGGGCTGAGGCGATCGAGGCAGCGCCTGTCAGGCACCTCAACAGGAGGAGGGGAAGAGGACGCATGCCAAAAAGCCCCAAGAACCTCAGCCTCCTTGGCAAGCAAAACACGCGGGCCCAACGTAAAAACACCCGGAGATTGCTCGGTAACCGTGGGCTCCCATTTAACCTTAAGACGGGTGAGGCGGTGCATATTGCGGGCTGACCCCTGCGAAGCTTCAGCCTGCCATTGATCCCACCCTTTCTTTTCCTCCCCGTCTACGCCTTCACGAGCCTCCGTGAAGTCCTCCTCCCACCCCGCCAAAAGCTCGGCAAACTGGTCGACCCAGTCAGCTAGGCCGCGCAGGGAGCGCGGCCACACGGCCATCTCCTGACGGGCCTTGGCGACGGTGACATCAAGCCTAGTCGAGAGGCCTTCGGCATCGAAAGGTTGCGCAACAATATCAACGATGTTGCAAGCCGCTTGAACCTCAGACTGATCCACTTACGCACTCATCTGAACCACAAGCCTCTGGCTGGTGTTAAGGAGGTCCTTAGTAGACTGCTGCAACCAGACCCACCCAACCCGGACACGGACCTCATCTTCCTCCTTTCTCTTAGGGGGCGCCAGAACCGAGGCCCACTGGGCAACCAAAGGGAGGCCTTTCTTTCCCTTCTTACGCACTGGGGTTTCTAACTCACTCTCGAGCTCCAGTTCCATGGCACCCGAGAAAGTTGTCCAAGCGACGTCCAGCGCAGCAAAAGCAGTGCCCACCGCTTGGTCACTGGCGACGAGGTTGGCGTGTTCAGCTTGTCCACGCGCCTCCGTCCAATCGGCGCTACGATTACTTGGCCCCATAGGGAGCTCAGTGGGGAGCCTCTGGTGGCTAGTGTACACGAGCTGGTGCAACTTGACAGCCCCAGGCCTAAGATGCAGTTGGACAGGTCGGTGAGGCCCCTTGGCCCATGAGCTGTCTACATTGACCGTCTGCACCAACTTGCTGAAGGCCGTGGGCCCGAGAAAATAATCAATCTTGGTATTAGCCTGCGGTGTCACGCACGTGGTGGACTCGGGCTGCATAATCAGCAACCCCGCGCGTCGCGGCATACCAGACATCTCCAAACATGCTGAGCTGAAGTTCCAATCCGCCCCCAGCAGTGCTAGGCACGCCCCCTCCATGATCTGACCTGCCATGCGAATGATATGCTAGTTACGTTGGCTGAGACCTTCACCTGTGTAGAGATAGTCACTACCAACCAACAACGGGGGCCACTTGGGAATATCGTTCATGACAAAAACTAGCCTGCGCGCTACTGCAATGCCCCGAGGTAAAAAGCCTGACCACCTTAATCCAACTGTGGCTCTGGCGAAGATGGCAACTCCAGCAGGCGTCTGCCCCTGAGCACATGCAACGGCAGGCGAGCACAGAAGGTTCCATCCCATTGCCCTGGCAGAACTCGCGCGCTCCCCGAGTCGCTCTTCGTCGAAGCCAATTTCCTGAGCACGCAACACGAGGGCCTTGGACGACGCTAACCTCTTCTTAAGTGGGCCCCAGCCGTCCCCATTATAGCTTTCAAAAACATGGGCCGTACCGATGCCTTCAACGCGGGGGACGGCTCGTGGCGGACAGCCTATACCACGCTTAGTCAGCTTAAAGCCAGTGCATCTAGGCATAAGGTCAAACGCTACCCCTCGCGAGAACACTCCGCTGGGGCCATTAAAACCATCATCTGGCGTTGGCGGCAGAGGCAAGTCATCTGACTTCTGCTCCATGCGCAGGTCATCTGGCTGCTGCTCACAGAGCCGCTGCAAAAGAAACCAGAGAGCCTGCATCACTCGATAATCGCAATGCACGAACCAGTGCCGCGTGAAACAGCAATCGAACAAGTGCATACCCACATCGTCGATGGGCGAGCTCCTCCATTGTGCGGCACCAGCGAACACATCCTCACCGTCAAAGCTGAGACGTTTTGGGACGCTTCGCTCTGGCCCCCATGATCGCCTCCAGGATAGCCCTCGTGTCGCCCTTGTGCTTCTCACAGAAGTCATCGGCCGCCTGCTCATCAACGAGCATGTCATCGAACTCGTCATCGCCTGTTGGCACTGGCTGGCCCACGCGCGCACCAGCCGCTCCCTCAGGTGGCGCCACGGGCGTCTCAGGACGTTGGGCTCCCGATGTGACATGGAGGCGGAACAGCTTTGCGAACTCCTTGAACGGTTCGGAGTCCACCATTGCCTTGATCTCCGCATTGCCATCCAGCAGCTCCTGAGGGACGCCGAAGGTGTCATCTGCAGGCGACTCACCGAGTGGCAAGGTAGTGAAACCAACTGCCGTCGGAGCTCAGCGCATTCCTTCTGCATGTTGTCGCGCTTCTGCACCGACTCCATCTTCTCCTTCTGCATCTCATCCAACCTCTTGGTGATGTCGGTGACCTCCGACTCCACCTTGGCCAGGCGGGCCTTGCATCTGTTGAGCCTGTGCCCCGCATTGTTGTGCTGCGTGAGGCCAGGCTTGCGGGCTTCAATATGCGCCCTGACGCCTCGGAAGTTCTCCTCCAGGATCGCCTTGGCTGCAGATGCCGACTCGCTCTTGCGCGCTGCGATGGCCAACTCCAACTGCGCGGCCTCCGCGCGCAAGGGATCCTCCGTCTCCTTCTCATCTCTTGCCGCAGCCGCAGGTCCACCGCCCCCCCCCCCCCTCCTTGTTGGGCAGAGGCCTTGGCGCCACCAGCGACGAAACTGCTCCACGCGCTTGGTGAGCTCCTGCACCTGCTTTTCCAGCCTCTGCTCACGCTTCGAGCCCGCGGCAGGGGGGCGAGCACCGCCACCAAGGCCGCGAGCAGCACCACCACCATCAGGAAACTGCTGCGCCCGCTTGAGCACCGCCTGGGGGGGCGCTGGCGCCGCAGCGGCAGCGCAGGCGGCATGCCCAGTTCGACGTGAGCCCGCACTGCTGGCAGCCCCCGAAAAGCCTCTTGGGCCCCTGGACCACCGCTCCATCCATGGATGCCTCGCTACGGAGGCTTTGAAGACTGGGGGCTTGAGATGCCCCAGAACTGCACAAGCCAAAAAGGCACGCGACAGCGACTGCCGCTCTGAAGACAGCTGTCGCAAGCTCAGACCACCTGAGCCAGAACGGCTCCAACGCGCGCGTGCGTCTCGATGCCCCGGATAAAATTGCCCCGGGCAGGGGCCCCGATGGGCCCGCCCCCGCGCGCCTGGCCCAGTCCAGGCCCCTGCCCAGCGGCAACCCCCTTGAGTGCCGAAGTAAATGGGAGAGGCCCCCGCGAAGCTCTGGACCAAGGCCTCTCACCCATAGGCCAATGGTTCGAAAACAAACGCGAGCATTCGCCATGGCTGACCCCATGACCCACATCACAGACGGATCCAAGAAATTTGGAGCAGCTGGTCCACGGAGGGTTCTCCTGGGGGCGCCTTGCAGACCCAGCAACGCCGACGCTGCTGAAACCCCCCTTGCCGTCCAAGCGCCCCTCAGGCGCCAGCAGGGGTGACAGGCCCTGCGCGGCCTTGAGACTCCTTGGCGCTTGCCTCCAAGAGCTCTGCGGCCCGAGAACTGACGCCAATGCCCTTTGAATTTGCGCTGCAGGCTCTGCGCCCAGCAACGGCTGCTGTTGAGCCTGCTGCACTTGGCGCAGAGCCAGAACCAAAGGCACCAACGGCGGCCCCACAACTTGGTTCCATGGCCGTCGGAATGGACTTCCATGGAGACTTGGCCCTGCGACTCTTGGGCAAACGGCTCTTCTGCTCAGCATGCTCTTTAAAACACATGTTATACCAGTGTAGACACCGCCCCATTGAACAAATCGTTCGGAGATGATTGAAATACGTCTTGCAGCTTGTCAACCCGCTGTTGAATATGGTGCATCTCCGCCGCAAATGACTCGAACTCATCATTTGCGAAGAACGAATCCATATCGAATGCATCATTGGCACAAGGCTCGCTGTTGCAAAGCCTCTGGATGCTGATCCCACTTGGCCCAGTAGATGGCCCATCCGATTCTGAACCCACAACACCTCCTGATGCTGCCACTCCTGCCGTAACTGAGCGATACTCCTGATATGTCTTTTCCATGCCCGACTGTGTGTTCGCTTCCCAGTCACGCTGTTCGCCCACTATCCAGGAGCTTCTCGAGCGTCCGCGATTCCTCATCCAAGCGTTGTTCGATACGTAACAAGTTGGAGTGTGACGTCTTGGCTCGTTGTTGAACATGTGCGGGCGTGTCCACATATCAGAGGAGTATGTCGTACTGCTTGCAGTGTTTGGCGACTGCTTCGTCAACAGTAGCGTTCTTTGCCCATGCCACCAACTGGCGTAACTCATGAGTTTCTCGAGCGTCGGCGATTCCTCATCAAAGACTTCTTCGAAACGCAGCACCTTGGAGTGTGACGTGCTGGCTCGTTGTTGAACATGCGCGGGCGTCTCCAGCTCAACGATTATGTCATACTGCTTCCAGTATTTGTCGGCTGCTTCGTCAACATTAGCTTTCTTTGCCAATGTCACGAGCTGCCGTACCTCATCCTTGTACAAAGACGGCTCCTCGAACCTGACATGCTGCTGATGGAAGAATCGACCACCGGCGACCAGCAACACGAGAAAGACAACCCCGTTGGGCAGGTAGATCGTCTTCAGCGTCACCTGTCCATACCTTTCAAGGTTTGCCAGACTCCATGTCTCCTTCGATCTTCCTGCGCCCGCATACCGACAAGACCCAGCGGGGCTGCTGGCTCGACCCGCGCCTCGTGGAGAGCTTGGGTTGCCCTCTCCGCCCCTCGCTGGTCGCTCGCGGCCTCCGTCCTGGTCGTGGGGCCTCCTGCCAAGGGAGCTTCCACCTCCCCCTCTTTGGCCTCTGAAGGCTCCCCCACCACTCGCCTGCACCAGCCGCCATGAGCCCAAGGATGGTATGAGTGGTGAGGAGTGAGGCGCCAGTCGCTGACCGAGCCAACGAAGGCCCGGGCAAGCTCAGGGGCGGTGTGGGGGGGACACATCGAGCTGGAGTCGGCGATACATCGCCGATTGATCGGTGATAGTTCGGCCCCCGTGGAGCAAATCCGCACCTTGCTGGGCGGAGTGGAGTTATCGGGCCTGTATCGGCGATGAATGGGCGAGTGGAGGTCGAAGATGAGAAGCAGGACAAACACATTAACCAAAACTGTCGGAACTACGCGTGGATTGCTTGGATCCCCTGCACAACGGAGACCAAAGAGATGGGCGCGGATCGCCGAAGGGTTCTCTTCATGCATTGTTTTCTTATTCGATCGATGCATCCCCCCTGATCGGGGGCGTCCAAGAGGAAGGCATCCAAGAGGGGGTGCAAATCATGGCCCAAAGCATACGGCATGTGCGCAGCCCAGAGGGGGGGGGACAGGGGACGCATTAAGATAAGAAACGGCGCAACGAAATCTGGGGAGGGACCATGGCCCTGGCAATGATATGCACCCCCCCTAGTCATCATCCCTTGGAGGCGGCTGGGGGGTAGGAAACGTATGGGCCCCGAGACAATCGGTCAAGAAGGGAGGATAAGGTCAACTTCGCTCAAAATCGATCCCCGGACCCCTCTCGGGGTCCATCTTGTGCAACTTCCCAAACTGGATCCGATTGTGACGGTCCTGCCACGAAAACGACCTCCAGACGCTTAAAACTACAGAAAAACATTATCGCGCCCAAAAACTCGAATCTCTCCCCCCCTTCCTGCCGGCCAGAACCACTGGGATAACAGTGGGAGCTGCTTAGGAGACAGGGGGTTTATGAGCGGATGCCAAGGTCGGATGCCAAGGTCGTCATACCTGGCCCAGCCTGGCTTAGAAGTGGCTTACAAATACCCTAAGTGTCTAAGGGGGACTGGACAAATCGGCTAACTTAGCGGACGGATCTAACTCCACTGTGCATGTGCAACAGATCTCCTCAGCAACCCCCAACGCCATCCCAGCAGTGCTGGGCTCGCGCCGCATCCCCGATGCATCGCATCGGCGATGCATCAGCGACGTCGGCGATGCATCGACGATGCCGGAGCGCAGAAAATCGGGCTCCACATCGCGCCGGATCGGCGATGCACGTTGCGATCCTCCGACCCCATCTGCTCGGACCCCAGCTGGGAAGTCTAGAACTCCGCCCCCAACCTTTTGGACGCCCGACATGGGTACGGAAAACATGGGCACGATGCCCAACAACACATGTTGATCAAAACCGACAGCGGCCGCTATTGGGCAGGCGGCCGTGTGTCTCGAATGGACAACGTCCGCGGCGACGCCGACAGCGAGTCTTGCTCCAAATAGACAGGAACTGCTGCCAGTCTTCGTACCCGAGATGGGTCTTTAGAACCCCCCCAACAGTGGAACTAGTTATCGTTTCGACGCCCTTGCGACGGACTGGGGATAGCGGAAGAGAATTATTCATCCGCGGCACAAGCCGCACAACAAAGACGAACGCGGACGCTGACGTTGCCGTTGCCGGAGGAGGAAGAGGAGGAGGAGGAGGAGGGAGGAGGAGGAGGAGGATGAGGAGGAGGACGAGAAGGAGAATGATCAGGAGGAAGAGGAACGAGTTCTGATCCCCGCCGGGAGAAACGGGGGGGGGGGGAACCGACACCAAAGACCCATCTCGGTGCTCGAGCCCCTCTGTGCCCAGCTCGATCGTCCCGAAACCTGAGCGCACGCCCCCCCCCCCAACGCTGCCCCTGGCCGCGGGCGCCGCGGGGCGCCGCGCCGCCCGGACGCGGGGCTCGCGCGCGCCGCTTCGGCGCGCGCCTCGTCGGCGGCCTCGGCCCCCGCCCGCAGCGTGGCCTCCTGGGCGCCGCGAGCGCCCGGGAGGCCCAGTGTGCCGCCCGCCCACGGCTGCTCGGCAGGGGCCGCCGCCTCAGACAGCTGGCGCCGCGAGAAATCGGGACGGCGCGTTTTTGTTCACCGGGGGAAAGAAGGGGGGAGATAGCAAACGGTATGGTAGATAATCAACTCACGTAGCTGATTTTCCCAGCGCCCGTGTATCGACGAGGAGTGGGCCCGGCGGCGGGGCCGAAACCAGCTGCATGCAGCAGATTTCGTACCCCCCCCTTTCCCGATACCCCCCTTTCGTTCGGCCCGAGATTACCGTATCCAGCCTGTCGGGGCCCTCGCTTGAGGAACAGACAATGGCAGAAACGTAAACAATCAAGCTGCTACCCTTCGGCGTGGAAGACGCTGTCTCGTCGTCGTCGTCATCGTCGTCGTCGTCCCGCGGAAATTGAGGAACAAGGGGGAAAAGCGTCGTGATTATGTCGAAAGGAAGCCCATTCCCTTTACCTTCTTTCTATCTCCCCCTGCCGCAAAAGGGAAGGGGAGGTGGAAATACCGGGCCGGGGTCTGGGGGCGGGTCCCGGGGGGGTCGCCAACGGGGTCCTGGGGGAGGTCTTGCCTTCAGGGTCGGCGGCAACGGCCGCAAGGCCTTCGCAATAAGGGACGAACCCTTTTGGGCCGCAAAAACGCCTGGGCGCCTGGGTGAACGCGGCATGCTAGACGAGCGACCATGGAAGGACCTTTGGAACAACGAGCCCCTTCCGAACCCAAACTGTTCTATACTTCAGCCTTGCGCCGCCAGCGGGGCGCCATCGCCGATCCGAGAAATCCGCACGGACTGGGCGCGGGCGGTTAAACCGTTAACCTGGCTACCGCCGGGGACCATGTAGAGTTCCGCAACCGCAGCCGCAGCCGCGCAGCCGCAGCCGCGCAGTCGCAGCCGCCTCGTGCACAATAGAAAGGTTTACAAATTAATCGTTGTGCTTTGGACTACTTCCAAAGTTCTAAACCGATTTCGATTCCCTCATGCGTTCCATTTGCTTCATGTATCATTCATTTGCGGGAGAGAACAGTTTGACCCGTTGCCTGTGGTTGCCACTTTGTTATGCCAACCTGCTCGGCATCAAGTTTAAGTTGTATGACAAATATGTGTTCTGATATTTGTGGAATTCTAAGAATTCGAAATTGATGTGGCCCCCTGCCTGTAATGATAATCGTGTATCATTCCGCTAACGTTTAGATCAAATCGAAATCCGAATCGTTACCCAAAAAAAGGACAGGGTGTGAATACTTGTTCGGCCATCGCTCGAGAAGCAAATCGATATCAAACTTCTCGGGTATGGATACGGTTCCTCCCAGTGCTGCTGAAGATCTTGTCCCACATAAAACCTATGTTGCCGCCCTGAATGTCAATATCAAATCTAGATACCAAACACTTATCCAACACATTGCAAGAGTGCGAGTAGTTTCATTTCGGCCATAGCTCGAGGATAATACCGATCTCAGGTTTCTCGAGCCTCTAGACTACTGCGCGCGATGCTGCTGAACATATTGCTACACACGACGCCTCTGTAGCTGCTCCAAATCTCGAAATCAAGTCGAACAACCGAACAGGTGCCCAACAACGCTGCAGAGTGCAAGTCGTTTGTCCCAATATAGCTCGAGGCGCAAACCGATATCAAGCTTGCGGGGCTGCTGAACCGATTCGCCTTCAGAAAAGCTACGTCGCTGCTCTAACTTTAAATCGAAACACAAAGCAAACTGACATGTGCCCCGAAAAGTTGCAGGAGTGCGAGTCGTTTTTCGCCCATAGTTCGCGTAGCGAACCGATCCCAAGCGCCCCGATCCCCTATGCTAGCGCTTCCGAGGCTGCTGCAGCTATCGGTCCACCTGAAACCTATGTAGCTGCTCCAAATCTCGAGATCAGGTCGAAAAGCCGAGCATGCGCCCAAAAAGGCTGCAAACTGCGAGTCGCTCTGGCTGTCTGAATATAGCTCGAGGCGCAAACCGATCGCAGATTTGTGGGCCATGCATGCGAAAGCCCCCGATGCTGCTGAACCGATTCGCCTTCAGAAAGCCGATGCAGCTGCTTTAAATACATCTTAAAAAACCTAGCATGTGCCTGGGATATTTTTATTATTATTATTATTATTTTCTAAAAAAATCTTAACGACGGCACCGGAGCAACGAGCAACACGTCACAAAGTGTGATGTGAAACTAATGGGTATCCCCACGCATTAAACATGTTATACAATTGTGTGCTCGCCGCTGCAGCGCACGGACTGCCTCTTGCCTTTCAGCCGAACGCTGCGCGCGGCGCTGCTCACATGAGCGGGCAGTCAAGCGTGCGCGCGCGGGAGCTGACCCCCCCATCCCCTTCCCGCTCATGCCCCCCCATTTCCAAACTTGGGCGAGTGCTCGAACTGAGACCCTGCAAAGCGAGCTGCTGGGAGTTGATCGACACTTCTCATAGCAATATGCCCTGAACCCGCAAATCTCGAGAGAAAGAATCGAAAGCGGATGAAGGAACATCCGGCACGGATCTGCTGACATCTACTGGTTGACGTCGAATGGGCGGTGGCCGCTCCGAATCGCGCAGACGGCGCGCCGAGTAACAGTGAGCAGAATGCGAAGATTCGCCTGGCGCGCGGGCGCATCCGGGGAGAGTCGATGAGAGGGGAGCGGGTAGGGAGTACCTGTTGCGAGGCGACGTCATCGTCTGCAACTATTGGATGTACGCTTACTATGCGAGAAAAAGAAGCTGACGCTTGAATTACTAGTGCATGAGATTCAGATCAGGATCTCTGGATGAAAGGCCAGCAGGGTGCTGGAATGGCTAATCCTGCAGAACCAGAATCAGAGCGGGCAACATCTGAACAGCAGGTCCGCCAGACTGGTGATGTCCCCCGCCAGCTCAAAGTCGTGCTTGGTGTCTCGCACACGCGTGGCCCACAGCATCTCGTTTACCTCGTCGGTTGCGTTGTAGTTCAGGGCACACTTGATGTCCTTTGTCATGGTTTCCCCCTTCTTCTTTGCCATCGGAGTACGCGAGAGCTTCTCGTCAGGATCTTTGGCAGGCTCGGTGTTCAGGTGCGTGGTGCCTAACGCGTTGCACCAGAGAGGGGTCTCCAATATGGGTCCGTCGCCGTCGTACACAGCTGCTTCCTCTGCCATGCCGTGCGCCGTGGTGGTCGCTCCCATCGCGCACGTGCTGATCCTCGCCCGAGGCGCACACGGAGCGTTCAGCCGATGCATTTTCATCGCTGGCGGACACTGCAACGACATGTGAGTGAGGGAACGGATGGGAATGCGAGGCCGATTCGTACGGTGGGCTCAAGCCGTTCGATGGCCTTCCCAAAGAACTGTAGAGTGCAAGCCGTTGTTCGCACATAGCTCGAGTAGCAGACTGATCCCAGGCGCCCCGATCCCTAGACTAACTTCCGATGATGCTGAAGCTATCGGTGCATAGGAAACCTCTGTAGCTGTTCTAAATCTCAAAATAAGCTAGAACAGCTGCAACTTCTACTAAATATTATGTTGCCCCACATGTTTCGTGGGGTTTTGGTTTTCTTCCCACCCGCGCCGCACCCGCGTCTCACCCACACCCGCCCTCCTCCCCTCCTCCTCCTCCTCCTCCCCCTCCTCCTCACGCACACAGCACAGCGCAGCGCAGCGCAGCGCAGCGCAGCGCAGCGCAGCGCAGCGCAGCGCAGCGCAGCGCAGCACATCACAGCGCAGCGCACACAGCACAGCACAGCACAGCACAGCACAGCACAGCACAGCACAGCACAGCACAGCACAGCACAGCACACACACACACACACGGCTTGGCACGTGCGGCACATTCTCGACGCCATAGGGGTCGCCCACGGCACAGCAGGCGCGGCAGTTTTGCACAGCACACCTGCACAACACAGCACAGCATAGCACAGTACAGCACACCGCAGCACAGCACGGCACGGCACAGCACAGCACATCGCAACACAGCTCAGCACAGCATAGCACACAGGGCAGGCGCGCAGGGCACGGCACGGCAGAGCGTGGCAGGGGTGGCACTTTCTCGACACCACAGGGGGTGCGCAGGGGGTGGTCCCTGAGCTCGGACGCTATGAACGACGGCTGTCCAGGCACAGCAGGCGTGGCACCTTCTCGACACCACAGGGGGTGCGCAGGGGGTGGTCCCTGAGCTCGGCCGCTATGCACGATGGTCGTCCAGGCACAGCAGGCGTGGCACGTTCTCGACACCATGGGGGTGCGCAGGGGGTGGTCCCTGAACGCGGCCGCTATGCACGACGGTCCAGGCACAGCAGGCGTGGAACTTTCTCGACACCAGGAGGGGGTGCGCAGGGGGTGGTCCCTGAGCTCGACCGCTACGCACGACGGTCGCCCAGGCACAGCGGGCGTGGCACTTTCTCGACACCATAAGGGGGTGTGCAGGGGGTGGTCCCTGAGCTCGGCCGCTATGCACGACGGTCGTCCAGGCACAGCAGGCGTGGCAATTTCTCGACACCATAAGGGGGTGCGCAGGGGGTGGTCCCTGAGCTCGCCGCTATGCACGACGGTCGTCAGCAGGCGTGGCACTTTCTCGACACCACAGGGGGTGCGCAGGGGGTGGTCCCTGAGCTCGGCCGCTATGCACGACGGTCGTCCAGGCACAGCAGGCGTGGCACTTTCTCGACACCACAGGGGGTGCGCAGGGGGTGGTCCCTGAGCTCGGCCGCTATGCACGACGGTCGTCCAGGCACAGCAGGCGTGGCACTTTCCCGACACCAGAGGGGGTGCGCAGGGGGTGGTCCCTGAGCTCGGCCGCTATGCACGACGGTCGTCCAGGCATAGCAGGCGTGACACGTTCTCGACACCACAGGGGGTGCGCAGGGGGTGGTCCCTGAGCGCGGCCGCTACGCACGACGGTCGTCCAGGCACAGCAGGCGTGGCATTTTCTCGACACCAGAGGGGGTGCGCAGGGGGTGGTCCCTGAGCTCGGCCGCTACGCACGACGGTCCTCAAGGCACAGCAGGCGTGGCACTTTCTCGACACCATAGGGGGTGTGCAGGCGGTGGTCCCTGAGCGCGGCCGCTATGCACGACGGTCGTCCAGGCACAGCAGGCGTGGCATTTTCTCGACACCATAAGGGGGTGTGCAGGGGGTGGGCCCTGAGCTCGCCGCTATGCACGACGGTCGCCCAGGCACAACAAGCGTGGCACTTTCCCGACACCAGAGGGGGTGCGCAGGGGGTGGTCCCTGAGCTCGGCCGCTATGCACGACGGTCGTCCAAACACAGCAGGCGTAGCATTATCTCGACACCACAGGGGGTGCGCAGGGGGTGGTCCCTGAGCTCGGTCGATACGCGCGACGGTCGTCCAGGCACAGCAGGCGTGGCATTTTCCCGACACCAGAGGGGGTGCGCAGGGGGTGGTCCCTGAACTCGGCCGCTATGCACGACGGTCGTCCAGGCATAGCACGCGTGGCACGTTCTCGACACCATAAGGGGGTGCGCAGGGGGTGGTCCCTGAGCGCGGCCGCTATGCACGACGGTCGTCCAGGCACAGCAGGCGTGGCATTTTCTCGACATCACAGGGGTGCGCAGGGGGTGGTCCCTGAGCGCGGCCGCTATGCACGACGGTCGTCCAGGCACAGCAGGCGTGGCACTTTCTCGACACCATAATTTGGGGGTGTGCAGGAGGTGGTCCCTGAGCGCGGCCGCTATGCACGACTGTCGTCCAGGCACAGCAGGCGTGGCATTTTCTCGACACCACAGGGGTGCGCAGGGGGTGGGCTCCTACTGCCACTGCTCCTCCTCCTCGGAGGCCCGGGCGCCGCCGCCGCCGCCGCCGCCGCCGCCGCCGTCGTCGTCGTCGTCGTCGTCGTCGTCGTCGTCGTCGCCGTCGTCGACGATTGTTGGAGTGACTCATCTGGTTGGTTTGGCTGGTCTGCTTGATTGGCCTGGCTGGCTGGTCTGATTACTTTGGCTGGTTGTGGCTGGAATGACTGATCTGACTGGTCTCGTCAGTCTGGCTGGTCTGGCTCAAAAAGGCGAAGCGGGATGTGACATGGTTTGTGAACACACGTGACATAAAATAAGTATGTGGGGTTCCTCGGTAGCGTAATCTCAGGGTCGGCTGCTGGAAGTGAATCGGTACAAATATTGCAGCCACAACCCTAAAACTTCTACCGGTACGTTCGGCGCGATCAAATGCTCACTGGAAAAATCCGAGACTGTGAAATAAAATGTTTAAAACTTCAGAGACTGGGCCCAGGTCGTCACAAGTTGCCTTCTGGCCCGGTCGGCCAACTAGCTCCACCCTGCCGCCGAACTCCTCTTAGCGCATCTGTCCAAAGAGCTCTACGAAGTACGTCCACAAAGATATGTTCATGCCATCGTCTATTTCTTGACCCACCAAGCCTCACGACCATCAAAAAAATGCCCAGGATGAAACCTGGTCCCGGGGAAGTGGTCGAGAGGTCGGGGGCCCGCATCTCAAAAAAGCTGGGGCGCTGGCATGGCGTGGATCCCCTGAGGTCCCGACCCATTCCCCGGGAGCGGATTTTCGTCCGGAGTATTTTTGTTGACGGTCCCGAGGCCCAGCGAGGGCCTCTCGGTTTGAAAACTATGAAAATCTTCGTCTCGACTTTTTGTCGAGTTATCAGATGTCTGGGTCGGAAGAATCGGGGCGCTGGACGTCTGGGGCCTCGTCCGCGGCGCGGCCCAGCGCGCCGCGGCCTAGCCCGCGTGCTGCGGCGGCGCGGCCGCCGCGGGCGGCGCGGGCGGCGGCGCGGCCGCCGCGGGCGGCGCCGGCGGCGCGGCGGCGCGGCCGCCGCGGGCGGCGCGGTCGGCGGCGCCTGCGGCGGCGTGGCCGCCGCGGGCGACGCGGGCGGCGACGCCTGCGGCGGCGTGGCCGCACGAGCGGGCGGTTCCGTCGCCGGGGCGGGTTTGCCGGGGGGCGGCAGGGCCTCCTGCGGGGTGGTGCCAACTTACTCGGGGACGCACCATTCTGGGCGTTGCTGAACTTCATGGGGGCGAAAAGAAAGACGGGGGGCGGAACGTGCACCCTCATTACCATTCGTACGCCGTTGAGGCTCCTAAGAGGCAAAGAATGTGCACCCTTCTCCCCCCCTCTATCGCCCCCCCCATTCCGCAAGGCCCGACTGACCTAGGTCAGCACAAGCCTGGGTCGGCCAGGGCCCTGTCGCGAAGTCTGGCCAACCGCGCAGCAGCTCCCAAAACCCGGGACTCCGCGAAGGGCGAAAAAATGGAATCGACCTCACGTGGCTTCAAACCCGGGTCAGCCAAACGGGAATGTGGCACGCCCGAAATCAACATAGAAAACATGGGTATAATGCATAAGAACACGTGTGGTCCAAATCTGAGGACGCCTGCTACTGGGCAGACAGCTTTTTGTCTCAAACGGGTACCGCCCGCGGCGACACCGACAGCGATCCCCTTTCAAAATGGACAGTATTTCCTGTCGGTTTCATCACCACTCTTCCACTCTTCCCGTGCCCACTTCGACCCTCCAGAAGAACGTCCGAACCCTGTAACTAGCGCTGACCCCGTTGCGCGAACCCCGACATGCCCTTGGCCTCGACCTTTCCGCCCCCTCCGCGCGGCAGGTGCCGCCGCGGCGTCGCCGCGGTGGCCGCCGTTGCAGCGGCGGCCGCCACTGCGTGGCGTCTGGCTGAACCCCGTCAGCGCTGAACCCCGACCTTGCCCTCGGCCTCCCACCTTCCGCACCTCCCGCGCGGCCGACGCCGCGCAGCGGCGTCCAAAGGGCCACGCCGCGGCGGCACCTGGCGCGCGGAGGGTGCGGAAAGGTGGAGGCCGAGGGCAAGGTTCGGACTCACGTGCGATAGGTTCGTGCCGTGCCGACGCAGCCGCCGCGGGCACCTGCCGCGCGGAAGGTTGTGGAGACCTGATAGAGACCACCCTCAAAAGTAAACATCCCAGCAAGCGAATATACACCTTCATAAGCACCCCCAAAAATAGTCGAACAAGACAGGGCTGCTTAGTAAACGCCGACGGACATCCCGTAAACGCCAATCATGGGGGACGAGGTGGTTGTTCCTCCCTTGAGGTGGGGGAGGTGGAGGTCGAGGGTGTTCGGCAGGCGGTGGCGTCAGCCTGGGCGCCATGACAACGGCCAACACGAGAGCGTTTCTTCATTTTTGGCGATGCTGGACACTTTGGGGGTGGGGGGGAGGGGCCCAGGGGGAGTATAATGTAGCGCCTCCCCCCCGCCGTGTGCCCGATGCGCACGGTGGTAGTGCCCAGAGCGCACTGGGGGGGAGGGGCGTGACGTGATGGGGGGGGGAAGGGGGAGTCACAGGCTATAATGCCCATTATGCCCCAAGCAATAAAGAAACACGCTCCACAGATGCTGCTGCTCCAGCTCCTCCTCCTGCCCTATCCAACCTTCGCTTCCAATATGGTGGCTCTTTCGGATCTCGGACTGCGCGGCCGACGGCGAAGGCCGAAGGCCGCGGGATTTGGCGCGAAACCTCCAAGCAAAGATTTCCGAACAACACTTGATGGCCACCAAGCCGGAACCAGGGCTGGAACGTGCCAGAGTTTCCTTCCAAAGCCTGCCCCACGCCCCTTGGCGCGGCAAAATCGCCTCAAATTGTCGCGCGCAAGATCCCGATGGTGTCCCCATGGTGTCCAGGACGAGGCCCCGCTCCAGAAGATGCGCAGTGTTCTTATGCTTCCCCGCCGCGTATCCCGCGCAGCGGAGTTGCGGCTGCTCCAAATCCGATTTGCTCTCTGTCCTGGATGTGGCGCGACGAACAAGACGAAACCAGGACGAGGGTAAGTTCGGGCGAAGCGAAGCGAAGGCAGAACAGGCGAAGGGCCTGTAGTGGTTCCCATGCAGGATGGATCAAGAAATTGGGATTCATGTCCATGGAGAGCTTCGGCGAGCTTTAAGCGAGAACCTGTCGAAGGCAACGCCTACTGACCAACATGGGGTGGACGTTGTGGGCCTCTGCTATGCGATGTGTGGGGGGAGATCAAGAAGCGCAGCCGCAGGTTCACATATCGGCGCCTACACGAAGGTGTTGGACGTAAAGCGGTGGAGAAAGCTGCAAAGCCCCAAGAAGCAACACCCTCGCGGAACGACGGCCTCCGCTGGCAGGTCAGCACGAGGACCGAGGGGGTAAGGCCACCGACCAGGAATCCTCCAGCGCCAACTTCTTCAGCGGGAACGGCTTCGAGAGCAAGATCGCGAACACCAGCGCGGAGAGCAGCCGTAGAGGGCGAGGCTGCCCCAGCCGGTCCAGCATCGCAAGGAGCTCCCGCGCACAAGCAAAACCCCATGTACGAGAAGCCGAAGGTGATCGACCTGAAAGGGAGCCAGTACCAAAGTGTTGCCCAGAGAATCCACTGGGAGACGAGCGACAGTCTGAAGCGCCACAACCACAACCACCTTCAGCTCTAGTTTCTAGGTCATTTCCAAACATGATGCAAGCCATTGAACAAATAATCGAGTTAGCGTGTACTGCACTTGAGCGTGACATGTCACATAATCCAGGAAGGCTGCTGGACGGGCCTACTAGAGGTTTAAATTCTGGGCCACAACAACACCAAACCTACTTCGCGATGACCGATGCAGCGGCCCACCGTGACATCGGCCAACAGCAGCCTACAGCGCCAAGCATGGCTACTTCATGGTTGGTCAGCAAGGGAGACGAGCTTCGCGTATCCATGGTCCACGAAGATGACTGGCCACAGTGTCGAGCAGCCGTGGACAAGGGGGCCCAGACTATCACGTCGAGTACCACCCCGTTGGAGCAGTCCGAGTCCCAGATAGTACGGCGAGAGCACCCAGATCGTATCATTCGAACTCGCTTGCACTACTGGTGAAGCCTGTTGACGACGCAGTGAAATCGTCTACGTCGCCAGAGCTCGTTTCATGATCCTGGACCTCGAGGATCCAAATGTGCTGGAGTTCGAGACAAGCATCCCAAGACCCATAAGCTGCACTAATAAACTGCACTATAAATATCTTTCTACGCGTGGGTGCAACCTTGGGCTGTGATGTGAAACCAAATGACTTCGAGGCGGCTTCAAGTCACGGAAAGGCGACCGGCAGACCGACATACGTAGAGTTACCTCCGAATGGCCTTCCTTGTATGGAGGAAGGAAGACTACCCAGGCTCGACCAGGAGCTTCATGGGACTGTTGTTGCGCGTGCTCGGTGGATACATTCACTTACTTCAAGTATAGTCAAGCTGGGCTACGAAGAGTCGTTACAGTATCACTGTGTCTACATTCGTCGAAGCGTGAAGTGCCTGGCAGAAGTGACGAAGCACAAGGGCCAGCAGTTGCAGAACCTTCCCTCCTCCTTCATCAGGTCGGAGTGGCTCGTCACCTCTGCAGATGGAGCCTGCGAGGCGGTAGTTGGTTCGATTCCCATTGAGACTGATGACCTGTCCACTGGCGGCACCGAGGCACATCAGTCCAAGATGCAGCAGCTGCGATCGGAGTACAAGATTGGGCAGGTGGTGGAGCTGCACGGCTGGAGGCGGTGGAGTCTTCGGTGGACGCAGGATCGAACAATTCAAGACTGCAGTCATCACATCACCACGAACGGCTACCTCCAGATCAAGCTTTGGAGCATCAGTACACCCAAGTCGGTGAAGGCCAAACCCAAGGATGTTGTAATCAAGGGCTGGTCCGACGAGCTGCACTCGCTGGCTGGTGCCCTGACGTCGCTTCAGAGGCAATGCAGGCCAGCTGTGGCAGGCCCGGCGGCCCCACACACGCAGAGGTTCGGGGAGACTCGCGACCTGCTGGAAACCAACAGGGCAGTCTCGCAAGCAAAGGCCACGGGCGATCTGGGCATCACGATCCACTGCATCGATCACAAGACGCTGACGTGTGTGATTACACAGGACGCCTCGCCCAACGACGCGGAGGACTCTGGATCGCAGCGTGCTTCCATCATCGGCTTCGCTCCTGCGAATACGATCCACCAAGGTACCGGGCCTGTATCAATGGTGGCCTGGCGTGCTGGCAAGATCAACCAGGTAGTCAACAGTTCAACGGACGCCGAGAGCAAGAGCATGCAATCTAACTGTGCGCTGCGGAGAGCGGTGTCAGCGTGCGCTGTGCGAATTCACGGACAGCCTCTACTGGATGGTTGTCAAGAACTGGCACGGGCGAGAAGGAATTCAAGCTGAGGGGTCTGTCTTGCTGCAGACGATTGGGATCCGCTGTGAACAGTGATTGCTGCCACTGGCGCGAAGTACTTGTACGACATGCTGCAGAAGAGCTGGGACGAGGAGCAGTGGCTCGTACGGCGTCCGAACTGAAACAATGGAGGATTATTGGTATCACATGCAAGTGAAATCCGCACAACGGGATGATAGTTGACCAGTTGACGAATGCATTTGGCAAGAAAAACCTACGACCATTGGTGAAACTGGTGGGCACTGGACAGATTTGCATTCGCTCGAAGCGGGACGAGATGACAGATCGTGAGAGCTTGAAGAATTCAGGCAACACGATCGGCCGCGATAAGACCACATAATGAGATCAGTGTGCGGGGCGGTTGGCCATTCGTGCTTCAATGTATGTAGGGTATCTTGGCGAATCGAATATGTCCTCCTCTCCCGCTCCAACTAGCCTTGCAAAATAAGCCTCTCGAACATCCTCACTCATGTTAACCCGTACAGCCTTACGGGTTGGCACAGCGCCTAGCCACTGCTTTGAAGAAACATATTCTTGGGGAACTGTGAAACTAGTGGCTCCTATCATATCCCGTCCTCCGCAATCGTTATAGTTTAGGCGCCTTGAGCTGGGTGGTACGCGTAGCGCACCATAACGAAAAGCTGTCCAATCGGTATCCTGCTGTGCTGCAGCTCCCCCGAGCGCGCCAATGGCAGCGCCCACATGGCGCACCCGCCTCCGACTCGGCACAACCCTCACGCGCTTCGTGGCCCTGCAGGGAATCCCCCTTCGTTCGTCCCACCTGCCTCGCGGTACTCACACCTGGGCATGGTTGTGTCCTTCGCTAAGATAATCTCCTCGTCTTCGACCCTGGAACCTCGACCCTCCAACCTTCAAGCCTTCGAACCCTCGACCCTCGAACTTTCGATCCTCGACCCTCCAAGCTTCGAACCCTCGACCCTCGACCCTCGACTATCGAACCTCGATGACTCCGAATCCTCGACCCTCGAACCTTCGAACAACACGCTCGACCCTAGAACCTTCGATCCTCGGAGAGAAGGGGTCGGGTGTGTCTGCAAAAGGTGTGGTTAGCAAAACCCGCACGCGGGGGGAGTTCTCTGCCGCGCTCCGAGGAGGCCCGACGAAGGCAACGTGAGAGGTCTCCTAGATGGTGACGGAGTAGATGGGGTCGGAGGATCGCGCCGCATCGCACCGCTTCGGCGTTGCATCGGCGACATCGGCGTGGAGAACATCGAGCTCCACATCGAGCCACATCGCTGGCACATCGGCGCTGCGGCGCGATTCTCCGACCCTATCTCCAGTCGAACAAGGGCAGAAACATGTCCCTCAAAAACACGAGACCCTCTGCCGGACAACATACACAGAACATCCAAGGGTACCCCTCCCCAGGGTGCACAAGAACATCAAGCAAGCACGGAGAACAGTAGGGTACACTCCCCGAACCGACCTCGATCTTATGCCTCGGTCCGACTCTACTCCGACCCCATATGAGAGGCCTGCAAACGTGGCGCCCCCCAAGCAACAACGGCGCCGACCGCAAGCCGCCCTCCTTCTGCTCGCGATCGCGCTGCTCTTGGGCCTCGCGTTCCGCCTGCGGGCCAGGAGGTCCCCGCGGCCCGCCGTCCGCCGTCGGCGAAGGCTCAACGCGCCCTCTGCTGCCTCTCGACTGGAAGGAGAAAGCGGCCTCATCCCTCTCCTCCTCCTCCTCCTCCTCCTCCTCCTCCTCCTCCTCCTCCTCCTCCTCCTCTGCTCCTCCCTCTACTCCTCCTCCTCCACCTCCGCCTCCTCTTCCCCACCTCCTTCCCCTCATCCTCCTCCTTCATCCCTCGAAGAAGAAATAACTGCTTAAACAAAACCTGTCGGAATTCTGCGCGGATTTCTTGGATTGGCACTGCCCCCCACTCACCCCCGGCTGGCGGAGCGTATGCTGGTGTTTGCCCTTCGAGCCAAGAGCTTTTAGAGCTTGAGCTTGAGCTTTTAGAGTTCTCAGCTTGAGCTTTCAGAGCTGGAGCGTCCACGACTCTCTCCTGACTCTCCTGGAGATCTCTGGATCTCTGCCTCGATTACCTAATGTGGATTTGCCCAGGCCAATCAGAATTGCCTCTACTTGACTGGTGAAGTCCCCGCCCATCGAGTGGAGAAGACAAGGACAGTCAAGCCCTTAGGGGCGCCGTGGCTACGGAAGCCAGGGCGGCGCGAGGGCGCCGGATCGTCCCCGGTCAGGAGGCAACGCCCAGGGGGGGGGCCTTCGCAGGAGCGGTCGAGGGCTACAGTCGCGGGGCAGAAGCCAGCGGGCGCTCACCAGGGCAGGCCCTTTCCCTGTAGACGAAATCTGGAGGGAGTGAAGGAGGGAGGGCGGGGGAGGCAGAGGGGGCGCCGACCACAGGCTGGGCACAGCAGGAAGACAGGCAAGAAGACGGCAGGGTGACCTGTGAACGGCCATCGCACTGCCACAAGGCGTGAGGAGCGAAATGGCGTGTCTGGCCACGGCGAGCCTCGGCCACGAACAGGTTTCCCGACCTGGATCTGGGAAAGGCCTGGACACCAGAGCCCCTCCTGAACCGAAAGCGGTTATTATGCCACCGTCTTGGCGTCTCGGCTGTAACACTGACCTCCGCCGATGTCTGCTTCTTCCAAAGCTCAGCTGTTCCCTCATCTGGGCTCCTGGGGGTCAGCTGGCCCCCTTCGGCCCCTCTGGTAACCAGCCTCGAACTTATCCACAACCCTGAGATCGGCAAGCCAAAGGCGACGACAGTCTTGGGGATGTGCCCTCGGCATTCGGAACCGAGGCGAGGCGGCGCCAAACGTGGAGATAGGGATGTGAAGGGCGCCTCTGAGGGCCCCGGAGGGGCAGGGAGAGGCGCACCTCTCGTCATCACGCGGCTCTATCGCTTGCCCCCCAGAGACGAGAGACGAGAGCGGGGCCGCCATGGGGGCACGGCAGCGCACGGCGCCTCGCGTGCGCGCTTCTCCTCGGCCTCGCGCTCGGCGTCGCGCTCGCGCTGCTCCTGCGGTGGGTGGGGGGGGGGAGGGGGAGAAAATTCACCCTATTTGACTTGGTGTTTTCTGTGAGTGCAACAAGCTTTGTTTTGACCTAGTCAATCTACACATGAGCCGTCGTACGAGCTGCGGACATATGTACACGCACGCATGCATTCATAAACACATATGCAATCCTCCTCCTCCTCCTCCTCCTCCTCTTCCTCCTCCTCCTCATCCTCATCATCCTCCTCCGCCTCCTCCTCCTCCTCCTCCTCCTCCCCCTCCTCCTCCTCATCCTCCTCCTCCTCCTCCTCTTCCTCCTCTCTTCCTCCTCTCCTCCTCCCCCTCCTCCTCCTCCTCCTCCTCCTCCTCCTCCTCCTCCTCCTCCTCCTCCCTCCTCCTCTCCTCCTCCTCTTCCTCCTCCTCCTCCTCCTCCTTCTCTCCTCCTCCTCCGCCTCCTCCTCCTCCTCTTCCTCCTCCTCTTCCTCCTCCGCCACCGCATCCTCTCCTCCTCCTCCTCCTCCTCCTCCTCCTCCTCCTCCTCCTCTTCCTCCTCCTCCGCCTCCTCCTCCTCCTCCTCCTCCTCCTCCTCTCCTCCTCCCTCCTCTCCTCCTCCTCCTCCTCCTCCTCCTCCTCCTCCCTCCTCCTCCTCCTCCTCCTCTTCCTCCTCCCTCCCCTCCTCCTCCTCCTCCTCTTCCTCCTCCTCTCCTTCCTCCTCCTCCTCCTCCCCCTCCTCCTCTTCCTCCTCCTCCTCCTCCTCATCCTCCTCCTCCTCTGGACAATGGACACCAAGGAATGCGCTCATCCTGTGGGTCACGAGCCCGTTCAGCCTTTCTGGGCCAACGGGGAACCCTCTTGGGGAGCTTCGGGGCAGTGTTGGAGGCCATCTTGGGCGTCTTGGAGGCCATCTTGGGCGTGTTGGAGGCCTCTTGGGCTTTCTTGGAGCCCTCTTGGGGCCATCCTGGAGGCCCCTTGGGGCGTCATGGGGCCCTCTTGGGGGCCTCTTGGGCGATCTTGGGGGCCTCTTGGGCCGCCTGGAGCAGTCCGAATCCCGAGAAGAAACACATTCCAAAATCCGTCAAACACCTAAGACAGATCAATGAGGTTGGCCTCTTCGGGCCCTCCTGGAGGCCCTCTTGGAGGCTTCTTGGGCCGCCTGGGAAGCCTCTGAGGGGCCGCTTGGGCCGTCTTGGGCCGTCTTGGACTCTCTTGGGCCGTCTTGGAGGCCGTATTGGGCCATCTTGGGCGGACTTGGAGGCCATCTTGGACCATCATGGAGGCCATCTTGGGCCAGCTTTGCCATCTTGGAGGCCATCTTGGAGTGTTCCCCGAATCGGTTTGGAAAGCCTTCGGGAAACACGTGGGCACCTTGAAGTTCATCGTGGCCGTCGTGGAGGCCTCCTGGGCGATCGTTCGGCGATCTTTGGGGGCTCTTGGGTCGTCTCGGGCCGTCGGAAGGCCGAAAAGAAGGACATCTCAAAATCCGTTAAAAACCTACGAATAATAAGTGTGTTTGGCCTCTTCTGGCCTTCCTGGAGGCCCTCTTTGGGGCCTCTTGGGTCCTTTTGGGCCAGCTTCGAGCCAGCTTCGGCCATCTTGGTAGGTTCCTGGCACGTCTGACGCCGTCGGGAACAGTCTTGGGGGCCTTTCTGGGCCAACGGGGGGCCCTCTTGGGGCGCTTCGGGGCCGTTTTGGAGGCCATCTTGGGCGTCGTGGAGGCTATCTTGGGCGTGTTGGAAGCCCCTTGGGCCGTCTTGGGGCCCTCTTGGGGCAATCTTGGAGGCCACTTGGGCCGTCATGGGGCGGCCTCTTGAACGATCTTGGGGGCCTCGTGGGCCGTCTGGAGCCGTCGGAATGCAGAGAAGAAACAAATTCCAAAGTCTTTCAAACACCAAAGGAAACTCAATGATTTTGGCCTCTTCGGGCCCTCCTGGAAGACCTCTTGGGGGCCTCTTGGGCCGTCTGGGCGGCCTCTGAGGGGCCGCCTCTTGGGCCGTCTTGGGCCGTCTTGGACTCTCTGAGGCCCTCTTGGAGGCAGTCTTGGACCATCTTGGGCGGACTTGGAGGCCATCTGGGGCCGTCTTGGAGGTCATCATGGCCGTCTTGTGTGGCCAAACGTTGAGGCCAGACCTGCCAAGCCATCGAACCATGTGTTCCCCGAATCGGTTTGAAAAGCCTTCGGGGAACACGTGGGCGTCTTGAAGGATATATTGGCAGTCTTGGAGGCCTCTTGGGCGATCTTTCGGCGATATGTGAGGGCTCTTGGGCCGTCTCGGGCCGTCGGAATGCCGAAAAGAAGGAAACGTCAACACCCGCCAACAACCTACGGAAAATCAATGTTGTTGGCATCTTCTGGCCTTCCTGGGGGCCCTGAGGCAGAAAAACAAAAGCATGGAAACATCAAAAAAACAAACAAAGCTGAGACCCTCTGCTGTTTTCCAATCTACCACCAGAATGTATTTGGTTTTAATTATATTTTGGTCGTGGATTTGAAAAACGCAGAGAGTCTCAGCTTGAATTGCCTTTTTTGCTTTTTCCATGGTTTGTTTGTTGTTGGTTTTCCCCTTGTATTTTCCCTGTGCCTCTGGCCCTGGGTAGGCCCAGGAGGATAACAAGAAAAAAATCAAAAAAGCAAGGAAAACGCAAATAAAAACAACAAACAAAAAAAAAAAGCTGAGACCCTCTGCGTGTGTCAAATCTACCACCAGAATGTAATTGAGTTTAAATATATTCGGATCGTGGATTTGAAAATCGCAGAGAGTCTCAGCTTGTTTTGGTTTGGTTTGCTGTTTCCATGTTTTTGTTTGCGTTTTCTCCGGATCTTTTCCCTGGGCATCTGGCCCTGGGTAGGCCCAGGAGGATACCATGGAAAAAAAAAACAAGGAAAAAGCAAAACAAGCAGAAAAAGCTGAGACTCTCTGCGTTTTTCAAATCTACCACCAGAATGTAATTGATTTCAATTGTATTCTGATCGTGGATTTGAAAATCGCAGACAGTCTCAGCTTTTTTTTATGTGTTTGATTTTTCCCTTGTTTCTTTTGCGCTGTTTCCCAACATATTTTCCCTGGGCCTCTGGCCCTGGGTAGGCCCAGGAGGATACCATAGAAAACATCAAAACAAGCAAAAAACAAACAACAGGAAAAAACAAAAAAAAAACAAAGCTGAGACTCTCTGCGTTTTTCAAATCTACCACCAGAATGTAATGTATGTTAATTGTATTCTGGTGGTAGATTTAATAAAACGCAGAGTCGCAGCTTGTTTTTTTTTTCCCCATGGTTGTTTTTGCTTGTTTTGCTTTTTTCCCTGGTATTTCCCTGGGCCTCTGGCCCTGGGTAGGCCCAGGAGGATACCAGGGGGAAAAAAAAAACAAAACACAAAAAAAACGCAAAACAAAAAAAAAAACACAAAAAAAAGCAAAAACAGCTGAGACTCTCTGCGTGTGTCAAATCTACCACCAGAACGCAATGGTGTTTAATTGTATTCTGGTCGTGGATTTGAAAATCGCAGAGAGTCTCAGCTTTGTTTGATGTGTTTGCCTTTTCCCTGCTTGTTCCCCCCCTTTTCCCTGTTTTTGTTTTTTGCTTTTTCCCTTGATCTTTTCCCTGGGCCTCTGGCCCTGGGTAGGCCCAGGAGGGCACCAGGGAAAAAAACAAAAAAAACAAAAAATACAAGGAAAAAACAACACAAAAAAAGCTGAGACCCTCTGCGTTTTTCAAATCTACCACCAGAATGCAATTGATTTTAATTGTATTCTGGTCGTGGATTTGAATATCGCAGAGAGTCTGAGCTTTGTTTGTTGGTTTGCTTATTCCCTGTTTTTTTGTTTGCTGTTTTCCCTGGTATCCTCCTGGGCCTCTGGCCTTCGGTTTCAAATGGAATTCCTTTTGGGAGGATTACAAAGTTAATCGAATTGTAATCCGCCAAAGGATCCAATTTGTGGAGATTCAAAAAAGAGAAAGAAAAATAAACAGAGAGAGAGAGAGAGAAAGAAAGAAAGAGAGAGAGAGAGAGAAACGGAAAACAGAAAAAGAGACGGAGACAGAGAAAGAAACGCAAACAAGCAAGAACGACCCCAAGTCAAATAAGGTGAACTTTCTCCCTTTCGGGGGGGGGGGGGCGATGACCACCGCAAAAGCATCGTTGAACCGATCTCTATCCCCACTGGCGCGGCGTTGGCGCCACTGGCCCCGAGTTCCCCCTGGATGGTGATGTAGGCTGCTCGCTTCGGGTCTCGAGGGACCGATCCCCAAATGGAGGGTGGGATGGTGGGGCTGAATTACCATGGCCCAGTGGGGATGGGGACACGGTTGAAGGAAACAGCAACGCAACGACAACGCCCGAACTAGAAAGAACCAGATTCCCCCCTCCGCCCCCCTGCCATAGCATTGGCAAGCATTGCGATCGAGATGATGGGCTCAAGATTTGCTGTGTCCCTCTTGTAAGGGATCACTTGTTCGCGGGGGGACAGAGGGGGGGGATCATGCGAAGTGGCTCCTCAACGTTTGTTGCAAAATATCATCATTCAGCGGTGGTGCAACCATCGCGTCTCCCATGTTCCCTGGCATGGGCGGGAAACGGAAGGGGGTGGAGGGAGAGGAGAAAAATGAGAATTGGGAACGAGGGGTGGGAGGGGGCGCGAAACTGCGCTCTCGACTGATGGGGCGGCCACCAGTCGCCATCGTCGCTACTATATACCACACGCACGCTCGTGAAGTACAAACGGTCCGGCGAGGGCCTCGCGTGGGCCACACGAGGGCCGCACGTGGGCTGCTATGTTTTTCTAAAGAGGCCTGGCAGTGCATATTGGATAGGGTCTAAATCAAGGGGCCCAAGGACACACAACTAAGTACACACAAATAACATGATTCCCCATATTGTATCATATTTTCTGGGTTTTGTCTTCCCCCCACTTCCCATATTTTCCAAGATTTTCTGGGGAATCGACGATTAATTGTGTCTGTGTTTTCTCCCTCCTGACTAAGGAGTATTGCAATATCTTGAAACTGCGAGGGTGTGAGGCCTATGCAACAACAACCTCAAAAAATAGCCCACGTGAGGCCCACGCCCGGACGCCGGGCCAGTGGTGTTTTGCGGCGCTGGTTTCTCGGCGCTCGCACACAAGTAAAGGGAACCAATTGGATCCATGCTTTTCCTGGCGAAGATACAATACTTCAGCCTGGGGGTGCCGGTGGTGCAAGCTATGTGGTGTAAGCTATGTGGTTGAGGAAGCGCGGAGTGTGTCCAAACAGGCGTGTGCTGACAAGCGGGGAGAAGGACCGCGCGGCGCAACCTCTTTTTGGAGTGCCTTTTGTCGGCCACTTCAAAGCACAGGGATGACCACCTCCCTTCGACGACACCTCTCCTTTACTACTACTGCTGTCTTAGACGCGCCCCCCCCCCCCCACCCACACCCCACGTTCCCGATACAACAGCAACAACGAGCGCCTCAGCGAGTGCAAATTCCCACAAAAACAGAACTGCATCTCAGGCTCGCTACTAACGCAAACCGTTTTGGACATGAATTCGGCCTCCTGATTACCCCCGAAGAAAATGACGTGAGCTTTCGAACGGTCTTGCAACAAAAACGCGTCTCACATATTCCAAGGGCATGGGCGGGAAAGGGAAGGGTGTGGAGGGAGAGAAGAAAAATGATGATTGGGAGGGAGAGGTGAGAGGGCGCGCGAAACTGCGCCCTCGACTGATGGAGCGACCACCATTCGTCGCCGCCGCTATAATACCCTTCGCACGCTCGTGAAATACAACTGGCCCAACGGGGCACGCGAGGTCCACGCTGGGTCAGTTTTGTTTTTGTTACAGGAGGCCCAGCAATTTGGTATAATATGGAAAAAGATCCACAATATATTAGATTATCCTTGAACTGCGGGGATGTGAGGCCCGTGCTATCATAAGAAGCAGAGTAATAAAAATAATACGAATGGTAACACTAATAATAATGACAACGCACGTGAAGCGCACGTGTGGCCCACGTGAGGATCACGCCTGGACGCAAGGACACCACTATTTTACAGCGTTGGCTTAGCGGTGCTCGCCCACAAATCGTGAGAACCAATTGGATTTATGATTTTCCGTGCAAAAGCATGAACCTTCAACCTGGGAGCAGGCGCGGGGGCAGGTGGGAGTCATGCAAAGTGGCTCCTCAACGTTTGTTGCAAACTATTGTCCTTCAACGGTAGGTACAAGGATATTGAAGGTAGGCCGGAGCTGGATCGGGTCGCGACATCGGGTCGGATCGGAAACGGATCGGAGCGACAACGAATCGTCCCAAATCGGATCGGAATCGGAGCGTCGCGCCCGGCTCCTGCTGGCCCCAGCCACTGCCAGGGAATCACACCAAGCCGAGTAGTAGTCGAACTCGCGGCCCTAACCGGCGAATCGAATCGCATCGGATCGTAGGCCATGAAGCCGGATTCAGCTAGATTAAATCCAAATTAAACTGGATAAAGCGGGACTGAGCCGGATAAAGCGGGATGAGGCTGGAGTAGGGACCAGCGCCGATGCTCAGTTTAACCTCCCAGGTTGCAACGGAGGGAGAAGATAACCAGACATCCAACACGTTGAAACAACCCAAAAAATGATTCGTCGTTCTCGCTCTGCGGGGGCCGGTTCCCATCTCCATGATCGTCATAAGGCGACACAGGATGGAACGCGGCCCTGGGGACAGTGCCCAGACTTCACAAGCCCAATATTGAAAAAGGCAGCACCGCCGTGGGGCGATGATCGTTACATTATCGTCCGAGACTGCTCGTGGGAGCGTCGTCTTTGAGATTCTTCGATCGCCCCTTCCATGTTTTCCTGGCGGCAGACAACCTGTTTGAGCCGGCCAGTGTTTTCTTAGGCATCCGTTCGAGCTTGGAGACGAGGGGCACATGGAATGGAGAAGAGAGGAGGAGAGGAGAGGAGAGGAGGCTCGGATCGGATCGGAATGACTGGCTCTCGCATAGGGGCGCGGATGACTGTTGCAACAACCCAAGAACGCAATTCAAACTAAATAAGCCCCGCTTCCCTCACAAATTCCCCCCCCCTTCATCTCCCCCTCGCCAACTTCTGCGGAAACCGGAAGATCCCGATACCGCCACTCCTCGGACCTCTCCCGGGGCGCGCCCTGACCAGCACTTCGAGAAGGCGACTCCAGCCGTGGCGCCGAAGGACTCCCAGGATGCCCCAAGTGGCGACAACGACGCGAAGGGTAGCGGCATCGGTACTTCTTGTTCCTCCGCTGACTCCCCCGCCCTTCTCTTTTGTCTTCGGGTCGTGGCTCGGCTCTCCGGCGGCCATTCGGACGGATCCGAGCACGACTGGAGCGCTCTCGGCGAGGCGTAGCCGCTGGAACGCATCCCGAGGCGGGAAAACCGCCGAGAGCCGACGAAAACGTCGAATCCGAAATTCCCCCCTCTCGCCCTGGCCCTCTTCCTCTCGCTCCCTCCCTCTCCCTGTCCCTCCCTCCACAATTAAACAATATGAATACTACTCCCTGTCTCCTCTCCCATGATGACGTCCGGAAATTATTTGATTTTGTTCCGCGTACTGTTTGCTTGCGCACAAGATTCAATGGAACTCGGTTCTCGCTTGGGTTATGTGTTTTGAAAATGTTGCTCCCGCTGAAGCGCTGGCCTCATTTTCGTCCTTCCGCTTGTTCCGAATCGTGTCCCCGCTGCGGCGCTGGCCTCATTTCCTGGTGTTCATAAATGTTTTTGGCGATCCGATTCTCTTCGGTCCTTCAAAATGTTGCTCCCGCTGCAGCGCTGGCCCCATATCTGCGCCTCTGGTTGTTCCAAAACGTGTTCGCGCTGCAGCGCGGGCGTTTTCGGTCCTTCCAAAGGGGCCTCAAATCTAGAAACTTACCCATCGAAAAGAACATCGCAAGTGAGTCCACATCCCGTGTCGGTTCGTTGAGTTTCTGGGCCGCAGGAGGCCCCCCACTTCGGGGCGGCGGCGCTTGGAGGAAGTATCAAGCGGGAACCCCCGTTCCTGCTTTCAGAAGGTGATGTTGCAAGCAGAGCCAGCGGGTGCTCTCCATCAGCACAGCCCCTTGTGGGGAGCTTGTCGCGGAGCCCAGGGAGCTAAACATGAAACCGCGACTCCAGACTGGTCCCGACCCTTCTAATACCATCCACTTACCCTCCCAGAAACCCGTTGCCCTGCCACGACATGCTGTGCGGTGTTCTGTTCTGCGCCGCTGTGCGATGCAATGCTTTGCGTTGCAATGCTTTGTGATGCGGTACGTAATGCCACGCCATGCTATGACATTCTACGCTCTGCCATGCCGCACTCTACGATGCATCGCGCACCCTCTCGCGATCATTGCCCTGCCCGACACCCGATGTGCGAATAGAGAGGAGATCTACGCCATGGTAAGGGATGGGACAGAGGGGTAGGACGTCAGACATGACGCGAGCGCACCTAGCTTGCCTTCCTCCCCTCACCCTCTCCTTCCCTCTCCTTCCCTCCCTCCCTCCCCCTACCTCCCTCCCTCTCCCTCCCTCCCTCTCCCTCCCTCCCTCTCCCTCCCTCCACAACCCTCCCTCTCCCGCCCTCCCTCAACTGGAAGGCCCGCCCCACAGGCAGCGTTTCTTGGCACGCCAGACGGGTCTCCAGAGACCCCTGGCCCTGCTTGTCGTGCGCCACCCCACCCCCGCCCTCGGGGATTGAGAACGGCCCGTTGCCCAATCCAGCGTTGCGCCAAGTTCCCTCCCTCCCGCCCTCCGCTTGGGCTTGGGCGCGAATTCGCTGGGGGGCGATAGTTGGGGGGGGGGAGGTGCCCTTTTCGGGCCCTTGCAGATGCGTTCTCCTGAGCCCTAAAGGAGCTCCTTTTCGGCAGCCCTCGCTGCCTCCCCACTTATCGCCCCCCCCATTACGCGTCCCCCGCTCCAAGCGCGGGGCACGCCCTCTGGCGGGCGGCACACCTCCAGTCAGACACTCCGAGGTGCGCGGGCGGCGCTCTGACCGTGGCCTGCGCCGCCAGGCGCGCGGGGCCCGGCGGGAACCGCCAGACCCGGGCGTCGCAAGTGGGGTCCGAGCGGAGGGGACCGGAGGACCAGAGTTCGGTGGCAAAAATCATGGGAGCCTCGTGCACATTCGCGGTTCAGGTTTTAGAGTGCGCTTGCGTCGACTAGCGTCTGGTGGTCGATGGGAGGAGGGCGCCAACTCAGCGCCAATTTAGCGTCGATTCTCGTCGACTTGGCGTCGGCTAGCGTAGATGGTCTTCCGACGACAACGTGGCCCCAGAGCACCGAAGGACATGCGGGCTGCACAGGTCGGGATAGACAGGACACAAGGATACCCTCGATTTGGCATGGTCTACCTGCCCTGCCAATCAGGGCCGACTGTAGATGGGCTCGGAAGGCAAGTGTTCGGAGGACAGCATCCCTCCCTACCTCGGCGGCGAGCCTGCCGGGGAGTGAGAAGGAGCGGGCGTTCTCAGAAGGCTCGAAGGTTCCCTGGCCTTCTGACAAGTTCTGTAGGCCTTCCCCGGAGACACAGAAAACTTCTCAGAAGGCCAGAGGGCTTCTGAGAAGTGCCGCCGCCTTCTGAGAGGGCCGTTTCGTTCTCGACTCCCCCCCTCGCTCGCCGCTGAGTTGTGCTCGAGGAGATACTGCGTCCCTGCGTTTTCTTCGGGCCTTGGTTCTGTTCGGTCGGTCGCTCCGCCGCGCGTGCCTGCTCTGGTGTTTCGGCCCTCGTCAGCCCCCCTCGTCGCCGTGCAGCTCTGCCTGGGAGTTCGCGCTTGGCTCGCCGCCGGCTCCCTCCCTCCAGGCGCGGGGAGCTCCTGGGCCGCCCTCTCCTCCTGCTGGCGTAGGGCCTGCTCCTGCGGGCGACGGGGGGGCCACGGGAGGACCTCCTCCTCCTCCTCCTCCTCCTCCTCCTCCTCCTCCTCCTCCTCCTCCTCCTCCTCCTCCTCCTCTCTTGCTCCTCTTGCTCCTCTTGCTCCTCTTGCTCCTCTTGCTCAACATCCTCCTACTCTCTTGCTCCTCTTGCTCCTCCTCTTCATCATCATCATCATCCTCCTCTTACGTGTTTCTTGCTGATCTTGCTTCTCTTGCTCCTCTTGCTCCTCCTTGTCCTCCTCCTCGCTTCTCTTGCTCCTCCTCCTCTTATACCGCCTCTCATGACGGGGAGGGGGAGGGCCCCCTCCTCCTCCTGCTGCTCTTGCGACCGCCGCGCCTCCGAGGGCGGTGACACCAGGGAGATGGGCTCGCGAATGGAGTAAGGCGCCCTAGAGCCATCGCTTCAAGACCTCCTCCTCCTCCTCCTCCTCCTCCTCCTCCTCCTCCTCCCAATCATCGCCCGTCTCCCCGTCATCGCCCTCCTCCTCCTCCTCCGCCTCCTCGTCCAGTTCCTCTTATGGTTCGTTTTCCTCTTGCTCGGGTCACGCTTGAGGGTAATCGCAACGCGACGATCTGCGCTTTGGCTTCTGATACTGCGTGTATCGCTCTACCTTGAGCGATGAAGGCCTCCCGACTGCGCACATCCATCGCTGACGGCCGATCCTGGGACGCCCGCGGCGTTCGACATTCAACGCCCGCGCTGGCGCCGCCGTCGCGACAACACGCGGCGCGAATCTGAACCTACCGCACCCTCTGATTCGGGCGTCGCTTTGTGTTTCGCGACGATCGCTGTCGATCCGACTTTGGGACCCCCCCAGGGCCCTTGCGAAGCAACCCGGGTCAAACAAACAAACTGCGCCTGGAGATGGGGTCGAGGGCTCCGAGCTCGCGATTTTGCAACCTGGACCGACCGCACCCTCAGACTCGGGCGTCGCTTTGTGTCGCGACGATCGCTGGCGACCCGATTTTGGGACCCCGGGGGGCCCCTGCGAATCGACCCGGGTCGAACAAAAGAAACTGCGCCTGGAGATGGGGCCGAGGGCTCCAGGCTCGCGATTTCGTACGATGTTGCAACTCTGCAGCGACGTCGGATCTGAGGGTAGAGGGGCATGGGAGGGGAAGAGCACAGGAGACTGGGGGGGGGTGCAACGCCTGCTCGTCCTCCACTTCTCAGTCCTCCTCGCCCCCCTCCTCCTTCTCCTGCTCCTGCTCCTGCTCCTCATCGTCCCTCTCCTCCTCCTCCTCCTCCTCCTCCTCCTCCTCCTCCTCCTCCTGCTCCTCCTCTTCCCCCATCCCTTTTCTTTGTAAATAACGCCTCCCTGTCGCTCCCCCAGACGTGTCGGTAGCGCGGACGGGGCGTTTAGCTTGAGACGTCCCCACCATGTGGAATCCTGAAGCTTTGCACTTAAAATAAGTATGTGGCTCCCCCCTTTAGTGCCGCGCGCAATGTTGTTAAGCACGTAGAACTTTCTCAAACATGACGGGCAAGTTTCACAATATGGCTCTCGCCTTAGCCCAGCGCGCGTTGGTCTTAAGCTTGTGCAGCATATTCAAGTATTAGGGCGGCTCCTTTTGAAAATGTGGCTCTCGCCTGAACGCCGCGCGCACTCCTATTAAAAACTTGCAACCGTTTCAGTGATTGGTTCGTTTGGGGTCCCAAGAACGATATTCTGGCACGTGTGTGTTCTCCCTCAAGAGGATCCAGGATGGTTTAGATGATCTGGCGCTGACCCAGCCGAACAACTGCACACGTCCGAGCGATGCCAAAGAGGGGGGGGCACCCAGGGAAGCCACAGAAGGGCGGCGGGTGGGCGGCCTTGGCGAGCTGCTCCTCCACGGTCAGCTCCTGGCGCTCCTCTTCCGGGGGGGGGCTTTGGAGATATCAGTCGGCGGCGCGCCTGGGGGCGGAGGCGGAACTCCACGACAACCATCGCGGCGGAAGGTGCATCCCATCCATCATGTGGCGGTAGATCCTCGTCTTGAAAACGCATCGCTCGGCGTCTCCTTCCTCCCTCCTCTTCCCTCCTTGCCTGTGCCCTCCGCACATCCTCATCGTCCTAATCATTATCAGCTTCATCATCGTCATCCTCACCGTCATCACCTCCCCCGTCTTGTGACCCAATCGGCGGCTCCACCCAATGCCCCATATGGAGCTCCACCGAAGGCTCCAGCGGCAAAAGTTCAAATGCGCCCCCAGCATAATTTCGGCACACGCTTCGTGGCCCACTAGGGCCTCCCCCAAAGGGCCCAGTGACAGGGTTCACATGCGTCCCCAGGCTCCCCTCATACGCTCCGTTGCCAGATCGAGAACTCCACCTAAGGTCCCAGTGGCAGGGTTCACATGCGTGCCCAGGTCCATTTCTGCACACCCCTCGCACGCTTCGTGGTCCCATGGGGGGCTCCACCGACGGCCCCAATGACAGGGTTCGCACGCGTCCAGAGACCCATTTATGCACACACCTCACACTACTCCTGGCCCCACAAGGAGCTGCACCGAAGGCTCATGTGTGGGGGAACCAAAGGTGCCGATAGCAACTCCCCGGACCTCTCCTGGGGCGCGTTCCGACCAGAATGTCAGGGCAAATCGAGCGGTGGCGACGAGGGCCTCCCAGGAGGCCCGAGAGGGTGAACATGAGGAAAGGGTAGCGGTATGGGTGCCATTTCCTTCTTCGGGACACCCATCGCACGCCTCGTGGCCCCATACACTCGGCGTGCTGCCGTATGG